CGCAATTGCTTGGGTTCTGGGAGATGTAAATTGTCTCTTTCGAATGGTTCAGCCCCTTGTGATAGCATATTTTCATGGGCATATACCTTATGAGGTTGACCTGGAAAGTGTGAAGAGAGTATACCACCAGGAAGCTTCTGCTAGTGTACCAGATGCATCAGATGTAGGAGTTAATTCTAAGGTCAGTAGAGATGTTGAGAATTACGAAGTTGGCTATCCAGTGTACTCAATTCCAGAAGATGAAAGATGTCTTGTAACACAAGCATGTTTCTGGAAGCACGTTTCAGACTTTGTGAAACATAAGCTAGGATCTATTTCGATCAATCTAGATGATGGTATTTCGAATAATGGTTCCCCTGAAAATTTTGATGCTCAGACATCATTGGACTCCAGTGATGACATTGTATGCGTAACGGAGAAGATAATGTCTGTTCTGGGAAAAACACTGATTAGTACCCTAGCTCAACTCTCTTCATACCATGTAAAACAACTAGTATTGGTCTTGAAACCGAAACTAGAGAAGAAAATTCAGGTTCCTACCTTGTTATGGCTGCTCGAATGTCGGGGATCTCAAGCAAATTTTCTTAAACGGGATATCCCAGATGCAGGTATAGAAAATGAAAACAACGGTGACCCTGTGGTTTCTGTGAGGTTCTGGAAGCTTTGTGTTGATCCTCATTTACTATACGAAGCTTTCTTGCTAGAAAATTTTGACATATTTGAATGGTCAAAATCTAAACCATTGGAATATTGGAGCGATATGTACAGAGAAGTAACCAGGAAGAATGAGCTCCATGTGCCATGCAATCAAGATGGTCGAAGTAGTAATGAGGTGGCATCACTTGCAAGCCACGCTTCAAATTCTTCACAGAAAGCTGCGATAACTGCCAATGAGAACTCTGCTTTCCAGAACCCTAAAGAAATCCATAAGAGGACCGGGGAGCTTATAGAGGTTCTTATTTTTCTTATATTGACGAACAAGTTACTGATATTGTTGACACTTTCTTATCTTTTGTGATTGAGTATTCTAATCTTTATAACAGGCCCTTTGTATCAACGCCATCAACCATCGGCTAGCTGCATTAGCTAGCAACCGCAAGGTCAGTATATCTTTAGCACTTAGCACTTGTTCTATCTTTACTTTAGCACTTGTTCTATCTTTACTCTCTTGTGAAATACATAAGTTTTTATAACTTGCCATATGCTACGCACCAAAACTTTAGATATGCAAAGATGAGTCTGCATCCTGGAAAACCTCCATTCATCTTTTATCTATATCCTGCATCAGTATCTCGAGATAAAATTTTCAGATGATATTGCATGTCGCATAGCAAGACCAAGTTTATGTCAATCTGTTGTTATTTTGTTGTTGCAGTGTTTTCTTATGCTTAGTGGTAATGTGGCATCAGACATAGACACATACCTAAATGTGCATTCTGTGACATGCAGGGTATAATTTTCTTTAACCTAGAAGATGTTGATTCCTGCAAAAATCAGTCAGACTATATCTGGTCAGATGCTGACTGGCCACATAATGGTTGGGCTAACTCTGAGTCAACTCCCGTTCCAACATGTGTCTCACTCGGTGTTGGTCTTGGGGATAAGAAAGGAGCACATCTTGGGTTAGGTGGGGCCACTGTTGGAGTTGTTTCTCTTTCCAAGCCTGGGAAAGCTCACAGAGTTCCGGGCTACTCCGGGTTAGGAGTCTCTGGTCTAGGTTGGGAAACTCAAGAAGAATTTGAAGAGTTTGTTGATCCTCCCCCAACAGTTGAAACTGTTATTACGAGAGCATTCTCTAATCACCCAACAATGCCCCTCTTCTTGGTTGGCTCAAGCAACACTCACATATACTTGTGGGAGGTTTGTGCCTAAACACTTGCACCATCTGTTTTAGAAGTTCGGAGTTAATGATATGACATTTCATTTCACTTTTATGAGCGTCTATTGATTGGTGGGCTGAATGTCTTTCATGTACTCAGTGTCTTAGGAGTGACGAGTAAATAAATGATATGACATATCTTATACATCCTTGTGGATCTTATAATGCAAACCTTACATATTACAGTTTGGAAAAGACAGAGCTACTGCAACTTATGGTGTTCTGCCTGCTGCAAATGTTCCTCCTCCATATGCTTTGGCGTCAATATCAGCAGTGCAATTTGGTCCATGCGGACACAGATTTGCTAGCGCTGCACTGGATGGAACTGTATGCACTTGGCAATCAGAAGTTGGGGAAAGAAGCAATATCCATCCTGTTGAATCATCTCTTTGCTTCAATGGCCATGCATCGTACGTTTCATGATCCTTAAGTTTTTTTAAGTTCTTGTTCACTAATAAGCTAAAAACACCCAAGTTTGGAATTATTGCTCTCAATCATGAAAATTACCATTCTTTCTCTGTTTCGTGTTCTATTGAGAGCATTGGCTTCAGCTATTCCTTTTCTGTTACTATGGTTGCAGAGATGTAGAATATATTAGTTCGAGTGGATCCATTGTTGCAGCTTCAGGATATAGCTCAAGTGGTACAAACGTAGTTGTGTGGGATACTCTAGCTCCCCCTTCAACCTCCCAGGCATCTATCAATTGTCATGAAGGTCTCTTCCAATAAAACAGTTTGTAAAACTGTGTTCACCATGAGTATCATTTTCTTAACAAGTTTGTTTTTGTTTTTGTCCCTTTTCTTCCATGAAGGTGGTGCACGCTCTATCTCAGTATTCGATAATGACATTGGTAGTGGCTCAATTTCTCCTATGATTGTGACTGGTGGCAAAAATGGTGATATCGGTCTGCACGATTTCCGGTATATTGCAACCGGAAAGATGAAGAAGCAAAGGAACCCTGACGGAAGATCTTCAACTGATGGCGATCAAAACAAGAATGGGATGCTTTGGTATATACCAAAGGCTCACTTAGGTGCACACCCTATAAACCCTATTTTCACCTTGGTATTCCGATTAAACCGGACTAATGCCTCTCTAAATTTGATTGACATTAATGCAAATTTCAGGGAGTGTGACGAAAATAGCGACAATCCCACGCACAAGTCTGTTCTTGACGGGAAGCAAAGACGGAGAAGTAAAACTTTGGGATGCGAAAGCAGCAAAGTTGATTCATCACTGGCCTAAACTACACGAAAGACACACTTTTCTGCAGCCAAACTCTAGAGGCTACGGTGGAATAATCCGGGTTAGTAACCAAATTACCTAACTGCAGATTTGGTTTCTTAGTAAAATCTAGTAAGGATTCGGTTTAATTTCTAAGAGTTATATAATGAAATTTTGTGAATGTGTTACGAATTTGGTGTAGGCTGGGGTGACTGACATACAATATTGTCCGAATGGATTTATAACGTGTGGTGGTGATGGCACGGTGAAGTTCGTCAGCCTTAGAGATCCCTGTGAAGATGGTAAATAAAAGAAACATTTTCCGGGAGAGTTTTACAGCCGAGAAAACGAGTTTTTACTTGCTCTACTGTGTGTTTATTGAATACGTGAATTTTTCTCTCATGTACTGTAATTTTTTTTTCTATATGGTTTATTTTTGCTGGATAGATGTATTAAAGATTATGACGCAGTGGAATCTTGAGTTGACCACAATCCAGATTTTAATTTATCTTTGACTATCAATACTCGGAAATATCATCTATTTTTCTTGGGTTGACATAGTTTTTGTTGACTTTTGTTGCATCGAATTTTGACCGGATTAATCGGACTGATTCCAATTAGATTAGTGTTAAGTGTGGTGAAATAGAACCAGGCAAAATAATTTATGAATCAAGATTTTAGTTCCGTTTTAAAAATATTTATCATTTTTTTTTCCGTTCGTATTAGCTCGAATGCTCGATACAGTTTAATAAGATTATGAAATCTTTGACGGCTAGGAACCTGGCCACTATCGTATTGCGTAGTGGAATCTTATCTTATATGGTTGATTATTAAACTGCGCCATAATTAGTGTTGTAGTCTTGTAGACGAAATGATATGAATCATCAAATGTTTGATTAAACCCATTGCCAAGAATTATTCCTGATAATATTAAGTTAAGGCAAGGGTCCATTTCATTTAATAATTATTCTAAAGAAGTTAGTTGTATATATAGTATTTTTATTATTTTTTGGGCAAACTTGTATATATAGTATATGGTGTTAATTATAACTGAATATATTAAGTGCTCACATAAAGCATCTTATTAGAATATCTTAGATTGCTTAAATAATTTATTAATCACGTAATAAAAATAAAATAAAATATCTCATGTAACTATCAATTAAAGGATAGTGGAGAGAGACAATTAACCATAATGACTTGAATAAACTTTGCTTCACCTAACATTCAATTTCCTAGACGACGCCACTATTTACATTCTCTTTACCTAATTTTCAAAACTACATTAAACCAAATTGACATGTAAAAAAACCTAATTTATATTTCAAAATGACTTGAATAAATTACGTTTTTTTATTTAAATTCATTTCTTGTTTTAAAATTTAATCAATCAGCTGAAAAATCAAAATCATCGGAGCAATACGTATTACAAGATATTTTTTCTGTTTTAACCAAAAATTATGACGTAATCTATTATCGCGCGTAATCGTAAAGTGATAAGATAAAAGGTCTTCTTATCCGTAAAAAAGAAAAGAAAACGATCTTCCTTTTTGTCGCCACGTGTAATTAATATCTAATCGAACGGCTATCGTGTGAAATCGATGGACAAATCTGTGGACTTAAATACTCACTAACATTATTACTATGGGTCCTCCAAATACGGTACCGTTTTGCGGAAGCTTGCGTGCTGAATGACACAGGGGAAGAAAACGATAATAAACTGCAAAAGATTCAAAAGCTTTTAATCGAAAGCAAACAAAAATTCTCTGACAAACAAAAAAAAACAATTCAGAACAACTCTTATCTTTCTTCACATAGATTTTTCCGTTTTGTGTGTTTCGTCTCTTATTGATTTTGGTGTTACTCTCTCCTTGTGGTTAGTTTTCTTACAAATTATTGCTGTTTCAATAAGATTCTTCGTCTTTAGTTAATGAATTATGGTTTTGGATCATCATCCGATGTTTTCGTGTCCGGTTTGGAGTCTTAGGTCTAATCGGGTTTGATTTTGTTTATAGTTGAAGTTTCTGAAATTTGTTTTCAATTGCAAATAATGATGATTTGGTTGGTTGGTAAGTCGAATAAATTTTAATTGAGAAAGAATCTGGCTCTGATTTTTGTTTGCTTGTAAAAAAAGTTAGGAACTAATTCTTCAGTTTTCCATTAAAGCAAAACATGAGATTCTCTTATTGTTTAAAAAGGAGTTTTTGATAGGCTTTTTGGTGATGGATCTGTCGGCAATCAGAAAGATTCTTCCTTTGAAAGAAATGATTCATTTTTTGTCTTCCTATGAATAGATTCAAAACGGTTAATAAGACTGCCTAATTTCTGAATCACATTGATCTTGAATTTGATTCTCAATCTCTTGTGTTTCTTCAGAGTTATGGTGAAATAATGGCAGCAGCTGAAGCAAGAGCAGTGTGGCAAAGAACTGTTAACCGTTGCTTTGTCCAAGAAGACGCTAAAAGAGCTCCCAAGTTAACCTATTGCCAATCTTCATCCTCCTCCTCAACTACTCCTTCAACTAAGCAAGTTGACGATTCTGGTTCGTCTCCTCGAGTTTCTGTTGATCCACGGAAGCAATCATCTTGTGCAGGTTCCATGCCTCTTCATCGAAACCCGAATTTCCCTGATCTGTTACCCCACAACACCAGATTGTGGAGTCATCATCATCATCACTTTCAGGTGTATAAGATGCCTTTGGAGGCTGAGGTTAACAGTCAAGGTGTATCTGAGAAGAAGTCTGAACTGGGATCTGGAGAGAAACAAGGAAAGTCTTTTAATTCCGAAAGCTTTCAAGAGTTTATAGAGTTGGGGGAAACAAGGGAAAGTTATGATGAGTCCTCTGAGAAAAAGTTAAGTGAGCTCTCTTTTGATCCCAGCTCGCCTTGGAATCCACTCTCGAGCGAGAAAGCTGGACCGTGGTGGCGAACTACGGATAAAGACGAGTTAGCTTCATTGGTTGCACAAAGATCGCTAGACTATGTTGAGAATTGTGATTTACCAACACCACATAAGATGAAACGATCTTATTATGGTAGTCCGCGTGGTTTTGATTCTGATGGATTCAGAGACTACTCTGTCTCTGGCCAAACCATCCACGAGCACGGGCCGAGCAGAGGAAGCAGCTGCAAGAACAGAACAGAGGCTTCGTCTGAGTCTGATCTAAGCAAATCCGAGCTACTGGAAGCGCTGAGGCATTCCCAAACGCGGGCTAGGGAAGCGGAGAACATGGCTAAAGAAGCTTATGCAGAGAAAGAGCACTTGGTGAAGATCTTGTTCAAGCAAGCCTCAGAGCTTTTCGGGTATAAGCAGTGGTTACAACTGCTTCAGCTCGAAGCACTTTACCTCCAAATCAAGAACAAGAAGATTGAGAACAAGGACAGCAACGAGCCAATGGTTCCCATCCCTTGTTGGAGCAATGGGAAAGCAAGAAAACTGGGGAGAAAGAGAAGAAGCAAAAGGGGTAAACCGAATGGAGCTAAGTACGCGGTTGGTTTAGCTTTGGGGATGAGTCTTGTTGGTGCTGGTTTGCTTCTTGGATGGACTGTTGGGTGGATGCAGATGCTATCCTTCTAGTCTAAAGAGAAAGATAAAGAGAAGAAATGAGGAGAAGAAAAAAAGAGACGAGAGACCTCGAAAGGTTTTTTTGAAAAATCGTTTTCTCAATGAACAGCTTGATGATCTTGAAATGAGTTTAAAGATTTGCTTCGAATGTAAATTGTTGTAAGAATTTTGTGTTTCTTCTAGTTTGATATTTTCCTTCAAAAACCAAATGAAATGATCTTCTTTCATGTAAGTATCTATCATGTAATATCTGCATACTTTGTTAACTAGATGATGATCTTTCTTTGGTAAATGTATTTTTCACTCCATTTTTTTGTTTAAATTACGTGGCAAAGGTGATTAGTACGGGCCGAATTCGAACATTAGGGCCCAGTAACCCGACCCGACCCGACCCGACCAGAGATAATCTTAAATTTCATCCCAGGTGAGAAAATGGGTTACTCAGGAAGTATCAATCGACGAGGAGCTTCGGTCTTTAAATCCGAGGAAGAGACTAAAATCGGATAGTTGCGAAAAATGCCGATCATGGAGAAATTGAGGATGTTCGTGGCGCAGGAACCAGTTGTTGCTGCGTCTTGCTTAATCGGCGGTGTTGGTATGAACCCTAAATTCAACCTTATTTGATCCCGGATCGATCGCATTTTCTTTATTAGAAAAGGATTTGCTTTGGGATCGCGATATCTTAGGTTTGTCAAAGAGAGTGTGTTTAGGAGCTTAATTATTTCAGTAGCGGGTTGATGCAGCGTCGTCTTCCATTATCCCGAACGCAAAAGATTATGTCTTTTTCGAATACTGTAATGTTACCAATGTGTAGGTTCATTTGCTGATGCATCTCTTCATCTTGTAGGACTATTTTTGCCTGCTGTTGTGAGGCCTATTTTAGACTCACTCGAGGCATCCAAACAAGTTAAAGCTCCCCCACTTACCGATGTAAGTATCATTATGGATTTTTCTCTGTGGAAATTGATTTTGCTGCTATAATCCGTCATCGATTTCCTATTTAATGAAATATGGAAACTCTGCGTGATAGTTGTTGTTAGTATCCGAATAGGCGAGCGAATGTTTTGATGATTCCTAGTTCTGTCTTTTTTGCTATGTGGTGTAGTAGCTTATACATTAATCTCCATGTTTTGTTCCTCCTGTGTATACTTGTTATTTGAGAGTTCCATCTTTGGTTCATGTATGACTTTGTTAAAAATCTATGCTTTTCGTCAGGGACGAGTGTTATGATCACATTTTGTTAGTGTCAAAAATGGATTGGACATAAAAGAGACTAGTTAGTTTACCTATTTCTCAATAATCCAACACTTCAATATATAGTCTTTATAGGCACACAAATGCGTCAAGAATTAACTTAGATCCAATTTGCTTTTGCAGGTTATTGCTGGTGTCACAGGGAAGAAACAGAGTTAAACCAAACAATGACTTCCCCTGTTTTCTTACATTCAGATGATTACTATTCCTTTTTGTCTTTTACTCTCTCTCTTTTCACAATGAATAAGCCAGACTCATGTTTTTGTTCTGAAACTTAATATAAAGGCATGTGTGTACACTCACTCTTGTTCATCGCTTTATCAGATGTATTCAGTTCTTAATGACAAATGAAAAAGCTTGGAACTTTTCTTGCCATGGCTCATGAGTCTTAACATTATACATGCATATCACACAGATATTAGTTTCACATTACAATAAAATTGCTAATCTTACATACACTCTTACTAGCTCTTTTACATCATCTTCATCCCTCAATAGATAAGATAGAGAGATTATTTGATGTGTCTTGTAATGCATATTGTAAACAGGCTTAAACACTTTCACTTCTTAGCTTCTTGTTCTTCCATGGCATTGCTAGCTTCAATCCCTTGCACAAACTTCCCTGCATTTCCCCAACCAAACCCATTTAAGTAAATAGACAAGACTTGGGAGATGAAGGAGCGGAGAAACACAAAAACTTTACCCAAAAGTGAGATCCTTTAACAGAACCACCACCATGGTAACTCCCTGATCTGTTAAACTTCATGATCTTCATGTTGTTCTCGTTGATCTCTCCTGCTCTCTGATTGTCCGACAGAAAGACATAATTACCCCTGACAACAACATCCCCTCTCCCTTTCCTCCTCAAGAACCGCAAGAGCCCATGCTTCCTCTCGGGCAAGGGCATTTGCGTAAACTCACCAGGAAGGAGCAAACGAGGTGGCAAATCAAGACACTTGGGGTAAGAAAGAGGACGAAGAGGGTTCTTGGGCTTGCCTGGTTGGTCTTCCCAACAAAACGGAACAGAGGCAAGAGTGTGAATCGGAGAAGCAAACACACGTGGACTCGCAGGCGATGAAGTGTACAACAATGATCTTGACTTTGCAGCTAACACAAGTGCAAGCTTCGCCTTCTCTTCTTCCTTTTCTTCTCTCATTTTTCTCTGTTTCTTTCTTTCTTTCTTGCTTCTTCTTCAGCTTAGTCTTAGGCTGTTTCTTTTTAGGTAGTGGAAGAGTGAGAAAAAAAAGACAATGCATTAAATATATCTCAAATCATTTGTGATTATTAATGATTCAACGGTGGATTTTTTTACTGTTGACTAGGTAGACAACCATTCATAAAAGTCAATACTCTTTTGTTAGAGGAAATTTGACAGACCACATAATACTACCAACTAAGCTGGTATTATTTGTGTTTTACTATATAAAGAATGCATTGTCACTAAAGTTCAAACAGTATAATTCTATAATGATTTTTTATTTTTTTACATTTTATTGCATCACAATTTACTATACTGTGAAAAGTAAATAAATATCACCCCAACTACTCAATTTTTTTGGTCTATCATTCTATTTTCTAGAGGTGTAATGTAACAATACAAGTAGAAGCAACACGTGACATAACCACGCGCACCTAAACTACGTGAAGCACGTGAACTTAATACTCTCCCTGTTTTACAAAGAGTGTCATTCTAAAGTTTTATTTTGTTTCAAAAAGAGTGTCATTCTACATTTTCAATATGACTTTTACACAAAATTTCTAAATTTACCCTTAACCTAAAGCTAATTCTCATTGAATTTAAATCATTAATCACTTATTAAATAGAATCATATATAATGCAAAGTTTTCTTAATTTGTGTGAAATATGTCAAAATGACATTCTTTGTAAAACGGAGGGAGTACTACCGAAGGATTTGAAGAAGGAAGCGCAAAAGGCGCGTGAGATACAGTTCTTTTAACCATCTCTCTTTTTTTCTTTGGTCGTAACCCTTTTTTATCTAATCAGCGATATGTGATTAATATTTAATCATAATTTTTGTATTCATGCAATTGATTACAAACTGCTCGAGGACTTGTGATAAACTCTACTACAATGAAGAAAATCTTGTGATCTCATCAAATTATACACATTTAATTTAAGGAATTATGTAGCTGACGTGAAAATTATCTGCCGACAAATGACTTTACTATGATTAACGATTTTAAAGAAAGCTTATAGTGGACCCAAAACTAAAATGTAGTTTCATCAATAAAACATTCCCACCGACACCGAGCTTATGATCTCTTCTCAGTTCTCAAGCTTAGTGTGTTCTCTCTCGCAAGTCTAAAGATTATAATGATGATTAACTAAGTTTAGGAAAAAATATTAAAATACGATGAAAGTGGTCTTAGGTGAGGGTTTTTTGTAATAATAAAGAGTCAAAACGTTAAATAAAACGTCCCTAATAAGAATAATAATCGAATTAAAGGGAAGTGGGTCTTTTGTTACACGGAACACAAGATTAAGGGAGCAGGTTGTTCTTTTGTGACAAAACAAAATAGAAAAGGAGCAGGTTATCTCCATTTGTCCTCTTAGATATAATTATTCATTTAACAATGATTATCATACTAATATTTTGTTATCAACTTTATATAAACACGTTGTATATTGGATTGACACCTTTTCTTCATAGGTCTTTTCTTGGGTTAATTAGTCAACTACTATTGTAAAGAAGAAGGTTACGAACTTACAATTATAAAATCTGAAAGAATTGAGAGCTTAGAAGAAAATTTATACAGTAAAAATGTTATGGCCTCAGTATTTGGGCCTACTACCATGTTAATCGATCTTATTAGGCCCACACAGAATCTTTACATTAGAAAATATGACCTTTTTTTAGCTATTGCTAACACATCATTAGTCATGACTACGAAAGCCACGTCGGAAAAGCAAACACTTCACATAAAACGACGCCGTTTGACACCTGATATGATATATTCGCATATAATAGTAGCTGATATATTATATAGTCTTTATGTTAAATAACAAACCCACCTAACGCGAAAAGAAAAAAATCAAACCAACTAACTCTCGGACTCGGTGAGACTTGAGAGAATCCAAGAAAGTAAGAAATCAAGAACTTGGTAGTTAAACGTGAACTGTCCTCTGATCCGATTCAAGATATACGATTGTACCTTCATCAGGCAACAACGACTTCGAGCTCAATTTCTTGACCTCATCACTCGGATATATGAATAACTTCTTTGCCATTTTACAGAACTCACTGCAACACATTCAAGAGAGTTTGTCAAAACACAATCGATAAACTTCAGACTTAAGAAAGAGATCGAGAGAAACTTACTTCCATGGATCGTCTCCTACAAGCATCATATCTCCTTCATCGTCTGTAAACACGATAGTCCATTTGTCTTTAGGACTAAGTTCTCCTTCAATCTCAAACATTTTCTCTAGCTCTTTGATTAACTCATCGTATGATCTCAACAATGTTAAATCAACCGCGCGCCCTACCGCTGTTCCTTGCATTTGCACCTTTGCAAGAACAAACAGAAACCAAGTGGCGTTGGAAGTTATTGAGTTACAAGTAAAGAGTAAAATGGTTGATGTCAAAAAATAAGATATAAAGAAAGTAGAATGGTTTGTTTTACCTTAATTCGGCTTCTTGTGGATGTTTGTTGTTTCTGCTCTTTTGGTGAGTTCGAGGAGTTAGGATCTTGACACTTGGGGGTAGAATCAGAGATATTTGAATCCACACTTATTAGTTGCTTGTTACAAGGAATTGGAGCAGAAGCAGGCTTGCTCGTGAGATCGAATCCGAATAACCTACAACAACTTGTGACCGGAGCCTCGGTTTTCTTGCATTGTAATCCACTTGAAAACACTGATTTGTTTGAGTTTCTCTCAGTTGCTATATCGTGAAACAACAATTTGACTGATGGATTAGACTCGTGGCTCTGCGGGAAGCTACTCAAGAAATTAGAAGCTGCGGGACTCCCTGTGATTTCTGCAATGCAGGACAGAAGTTTCATTGCCGAGAATTAATAACAAAAAGCAGTACAAAAAGTAAATTCATTAGAGATAGATAACCTAAATCAAGTATCAGAAATCTTTCTTGCAATACATTAAAATTAATTAACTCTAAAAAAGTACGTAAAGATTGTTTTTGAAGGTACCTGAAATTGATGAACCAATGGGTCTGGACCGTTTGGACTTTGATTGTTGTTGAGTAGGCGTCGGGGTAAGCGCAGATGGTGAGAAAGGCTCGATCTCCCACGGTGAGACCTTGTTTGGTCTCGGAATAGAAGATGGCTCGTCCCATTGGATCTAAATATAGGAAGAAATAGATTCAGAATTTATAGAAAGTATGCAACAAGAATCATATGAAATATCATCTCTAGAGAATGATTCAAATTCACTTAACCTGCAATGACCTCCATTTCGAAGCTGGCCATTGAGAAGATAGATCTCCACTACCAACAATCGTACCTGTAAATCTGAAGAAGAAACCATTCTAAATTTCAGACAACATTCAAGAGAGGACTGAAAAAATCAACAAATGAACAAAGAAAAAATGAGAAACTACATTCTCTCAGGAGACTCTTCTCCTTCAAATCTCATCCTAAATCGCATACCGAGAGAAAACCCGTTCTTCATCGCCACCATATACTTGTTCACACTGATTATAAATTGGCTTATCCTGAACGAACAAAAAACGGACAATATCAAGCTTAAAGGCCTTCACAAGCAACCTATATAAGATGTAAGAAGTTTGAAACTTGACCTTGGTTTATAGAAGACAACAAATATAGTTGTTGTGGTAACAGCATGAGAAGCTGTAGCAAGAACTCCCAGACGCATACTCTGACTCGAAATAACTGATGCGGGCATCGTGCTTTGCTGCTTAGCTAAACGTCTCACACCAACTCGTAAATCCCCGGTTTGACCCCTTAAAACAACACAAGAAGATAACTTGTTAACCCCATGAAGTAAAACCCGAAAGTAAAACTCATGATCTTTGGCTACCTCAAGAACACAAATGCATCTCCAGCTACAAGTCTTTTCGAGGTTACAAATGTACTCCAACCCGTTGTAAGTAAATGCCTCCTTGGTTGCCCTATCGACACAAGATAAACTCTATGGACTCTTAAAAACTAAAAGAAACTTTTAGAAACTCTCTTAAAGATTCTGTTACCTCTAAATATATGCTTAAACCTCCATTCATAGCCATGAAGATCTCTAGCTACAAGTTCTTGAGTCGGTGTAGGTTGTGTCATATCCTAAGTATTGAAAATCAAAATCAATGCATAAAGTGACAAATTCAGCTAAGAAAGGCCAAACTCTGGAAAATGAAGATGGAAGGATAAAAGCATTTACAAGTGAAGGTAAACACTCAGTGGCGTGTTTACGAAGAACAGAGAATCCACCATGAGTGCTTGTATCAGAAGCTGTTAGAATCTTCACAAACGAATCAACCGTTGGTTTAGCTGGTTCGACCAAAGGTGGATCAAGACTTGTGGGTTCACTTTGCTGCATAATCAAAACATATAAAATCGAAATCAAATTCATTAAACTGACAACATTAATTCAAGATTCTTAAAACTTACATCTTCTTCTGGTTGTAATGTAATCTGAGCATAAACCTCGTCTGTCTCATGCTCTGCTTTTAACATAACACTAAGAACTCGACAAAGTATCTTTGGAGGAAGATTAAACACTGGTATTTCTTGATCAACAACTCCTTGATTAGTAGAAGCCACCAACTGCCAAAAAAAACATTCAAGTCTTAAAATTGAGAAATTATGAAAAAAAAAAAAAAAAGGAATAATTTTGAGAGTTGGATTCTTTACTTGTTCCATGTGACCTTGAGGGAAGTAAAAAACTCTTTCATTAGAACGAGGAACTTCCACAAGTGGCCCTGCACAAGCTTTCCATAGCTCCGAGTACAATTGATCATCATTAGACCCTAAATACCAACCAACAACCATCAATTTCAACAAAGTTGCAAAATTTGAAGCTTTATCATAGAAATTACAAGTGGGTCTTAGCTTTTTTTAAAGCTTGTTTTAGCTCGTTAACAAAAACCCCACGGATGTGAAAGAAGTAAAAATGTTGACTTTATCCCAAGAAAATGAAAACTCAAACTTGAGAAATTGAAGTCAAAATTGAACTCACGTGATGTTCTGAAATCAGCATCTACATTCGCCATTGAAGAAACCAAAAGATCCAAGCTTTACACAAGCAAACAAACACTAACAGGAAACTAAAATCGAAACCCTCTCAAGCTCAAAGTATTAACCCATCAAAGAAGAAAGACAAAGAAGAAGAAGACAAGAGACATCAAAGTAAGTAAGTAAACAGCTGAAAAACTCTCGTTTCTTTAACGACGACGAGACACGACGGTTATGTCTGTATTCATTATACAAGATAAAAATTCATTACAAAGGCACTCTCTTGTGATAAAGAAGAATTGATTAAAAAGTTTGCACTTTTTCCGGGTTTTTCTCTTTAGCTTTTCAGTTTCAGTTACGAAACCGCTCCTTCTCTTCCTCTCTGCCTTTTTGTCTTCCTTCTTCTCTTTCAAACTCCGTGTCGTTTTGTTCATCAGCTCACAAACTTCTTGCTGTTTTTTGTCTTTCTTAAAAGAAACGTATGGTCAATTATTGTGAGAATGAATCTGGACCGTTAAAATTAAAGACAACGGTTCTGACTTCTGAGTAAGTAGTAAATGTTAAGTACTTAATACTATAGTTAGGTCTCATCTCTCATGTCTTATCAGTTTTTCACTAAATTCTTACTTGATAGGCAAAAATAGTTTCTTACCATAATAAGGCCTATCGTGTGAAGCCAAAAAAGACGATGGGCCTGATTGGTAACAGCTGTAACTTTATATTTTTTGCTGTAGAAATATGACTGTAGGTTTATTTGTTGTGGCTGTAGATTTTAGTGCTGTAGTATTTTGGCTGTGGAATTTAAAATTTTGGAAAGTTGAAAATTATGTGCTTTAGAAAAAAAGGTTTTCTACAGCCAAAAAAATGAATTAAGGAAATATTTTGGGAGTACGCGTTCCTTGGACCTGGTGTATCTTGTCTTTACCACGAATGATTTTCCTTGGTTAACAATAATTGTTGCTTTTCCAATATCTGCTGGTTCATTAATGTTATTTCTCCCGCATAGGGGTGCAATTTCTTTTCCGTCGATACGTCCTGCAATTTGTACTTGAATTCCTTTTGTATTCGCCTGTTCAGTTAATTCAATAGCTGCTGTGAGAAAAAAAAGAAAGCCAAAGCTTCTAAAGCTTGATTGGATGTATTTCAAATCTTTAGAAATTTTTTTGCTTTGTAAAGACTCTAAAGCACTTGCCAATCAGACCCCATGTTTTTTTTTTCAATTGTTCCCTTATGAGTCTGTTAGATTTGACGGAGCCGTTACTTTCTAGCTTGTGTCTGGAACGTGGCAGGCAAACGTGTCGGCTCGTGAATGTACCAGCAGAGATTTTGCCAATCCATCGAACGTTATGGTTTTAGGGCTTTGGCAAGCGTGCGAGACTTTTTCTTGTTTTTTGTATTTAATTTTCACGTTTCATAATATCATAATACTAGAGATATTTCGACTTAAGTAAATTAGTGATGTCTAGTGCATGATGGAAATCAAACACTGCAATAGGAAACTAACTAAGATCTGAATAGTAGTATTATTGTGTTGCATCCTGATACGAATCTACATTTTACTCAAGTTGTAAATACTTCAACGCACAAAGGTAGTTTTACAGATAATTAACGAGATTTTAAAATAAGGTAAAGAGAAAACGAACAATAAAAGTAGAGGACCGTTTGCTTCAAATTGTTGGTTGGGAATATGATTTCTTAAAGTGAATGGAAACGCACGGATGGGAATATAAACATTATAGTATTAGTTTTCTATTCTTAATTTCTTAATCAGTGGTACAATGGAATTCATTTCACAATATTTTTCGACTACTTTTGCCCTAATTATCACTACTTTTTATAGTCCATTTCATTGTTTCGGCATTATATATAGTTTTTTTTTTTTTTTTTTTTACATTATATATAGTTAATCACTCGTTTAGTCATAAATCATATGTAATCGCCACATCAGTAAATGAGAATAACGAATATTCGTTTTGTAGATATGCATGTCTCAACTAATATAGATCGTCATCGAATTGTTTTTTTTGAAGTGTGGGAGAATGATGTCATGACCGAATATACAGACTAAAGAAATGAATTATTATAAGACATTTATGGTTATTGCATTGGTGTTTAAAATTAATATAGCTGCAGTAAAGAGAATCAAATGGTTGGCTTAAGTTAACAACACATTCAAGAAAAAGAAGATTTGATTCTAACGGCGTATCTACTATCTTGATTACTATTGCACAAATTAATCATCTTTTTACTTAAAAATACTGCCTTTTTATATACTTTAAAGCTATAAACTGGTTGATTGGACATTACATGTTTTGGGTCTTGTATATCTTCCACTATTCGTTTTCTATTAGTAAAATTTTATAAGTGTAAGGTTTTCACTTGTGGGTGGAGGGAGTCAAAGCAATGGCACTGTATTGGTGAAATATAAAAATGTAAAAATAATTTAGTTATCATATATATACACATTCAATTTTTCCTAATTATCTCATTCATTTAATATGCGAAAAATGACCCTTCCCGTCACTTAAAGTGTCACTCGAAAGGAATCTCAATAACACTAAGCTCACGGACCTTGCTATTACAAAACAGGTCAAAAACAAGATTAAAATTCGGATTAGTTATAATATGATTATCTTTGTAAACCATCGGTGCAACGGATCCGATCCATTTATTCGGTTACGATTTAGAGATTAGATTCCATCTATATTTTAAAATGCTACTTGTCAAATTGCAATTCATAGGAATGCGTTTGGATTCACGCTTCCTTGCTATGGTTTCAGTTTTCAAAAACTATTAAATAAAACTATAGAAAGATAGATAAACCAATAAGATAGATATTGGTTATCAAACTTGAATAATGGTGTAGAGAAAACTTATACTAGTTGTTATAAGAAATTTTTACTAAATGTATTGATAGGCAAATTTTCTACCGTGATATATCATCAAGATACTAACCAAGTCATTATTTAAATGATGTTGATTTCATTCCTCATGAATGATTCACGTTGGTTGCAACTACTTGGCCAATGCATCATTCCGGATAATATCAGCTCCGTTAAAAAGATTTGAGTAAAAGGATGGTGTTAAAGGTTAATAAGGATACAGAGGATAAAAAGAATGATACAGTCATATACGTAAAACATATTAGCAAACTAAAACGTCACATGGACAATAGCTACGCCTACATCTATTGGCAAGTTCCGACCAAATATGTTGTCGCGGAAAATAATGAAATGTTAGAGATTTAAAAATACTAGTCCCTCCGTTTCGTTTTAGTTGTCGTTTAAGGTTTTTTCACACAAATTAAGAAAATCATTAAATTTTCTGTTTTACTCTTTATTAATATATTTTATAAAAAAATTTATTGGCCAAAACATTAAAACAGTATGGATAAAACTGAAATTTTCACCAAACATTTGCATTAAAAACATAAAATGACAATTATTATGAAACAAAATTTAAATCCTAGAACGACAACTAAACTGAAACGGAGGGAGTAGTAATTAGTACGAGGGGGAGACATATGCACGTCTAAAGAGTAAAGACAGTACTCTCTAGCTCTATGTTCCTTGTCTATTAATTTCTAGTAATAAAAATCAAAGTTTTGGATGCACATGAAGTGTGATCTCACATACATGTGGCAAATAATCACGTATGCTATTAACAACAAATGTTAATGAATAAATGATACATCAGTTTCAGGTATGAGTTTTCTTATGGATAAACTAAACCATATGGAATATCAGATTTTAATACCAGAGATCTTCGATCACTAGACGAAAATTTCACCTAAACAATTTTATTAAAATTATTTTATCCTTTTTATTTTTGTTAAACATCTAACATTTTAAATCTGATTGCATAATAAACATGTGTTCCAATATCGTTTATTCAATAGCATCCATTCAAATGATCAAATCCCATTATCAAAAAATTATAAGAATCCTATAAATTAAACTGTTTCATTGAATGAGAGTAATTTCGTATCAAACTCGTCGTCCGTACAACTCCAGCGATACGTTTTCCATATTGGAGAATATCTATGCGATCCATTCTACCGAATAAAAATAGTTCGTACCATTTTCATATCTAAATTATTTTCAAATTCAACGGGTCATATTATTCATTTTTATCGGGAAAAATGTAATTATAACTTATTTTATTTTCTTCTCTTATTTTCTCACTCCATGATTGCTCTTTTCTGTGAAATTAATACTCATTCCGTTTCGCAAAGAGTATCGTTTTAGGATTACTTTTACGTTTCAAAATAAATGTCGTTTTAGATTTTCAATGTAATATTTGGTATAAAATTTCGAATTTAACCTCAACTTTATAGAAGAATACCAAAAGTCAATTTGAATTTAAAGGGTATAAGAGAAATTTTTTAATATGTTTTCTTAATTTGTGTGAAAAATCTCAAAATGACACTTATTATGAAACCGATGGAGTATATTTGTAGGAAGTGGTGGATGAATAATTATTTTGTTAAATAAGGAAAGGATTCCTGGTACTTGTTTGCAGTGGCGGATCTAGCCATTTATTTTACCGGGGGCAAATATTATATATATATACAAAATAATAGAATAATTTTTTAAAAATACATTCTACACTATTATTTGTACTTTATTTATATTTAACAAATCTCTTAATTTTTAAAAATAGATCTCTCCAAAAAAAGAATTATGAAATGAAAAAAAATTATACTTTTCCCCATGAACCAAAAATATATAAAAAGGAAAACAATTGTAGCATAAATATTTTCACTCAAAAGATGTTAAAAAGACTTGATTATTAAGAATATAAATATCTTTTAAACTATTTAGTACTTCGAAAAATTAAAAAAGTAGTTAGTCAAATAAATAAAGATTGATTTTCTATCTTCCAAAATCAATTAAGAAAAGGAAAATGAACAAACTATGTTGAACAAAAGATATTGATTGTATTTTAATAAGGCAATATGAAATTACGTGTGAAAAAAAGGAAACAAGTTAATGCTATATTGCAAATAACTTTCAGATTTGAGAAGTGATTCTTTTAATGAGGGCATAATTATTTTTTTAAGGGGGGCAACCCATTAAATTCTTAAAAATCTATAAGGGAATTAGAAAATTTGGGGGTGGCATCTGCCCCCTACTTGCCATACATAGATCCGCCCTTGCTTGTTTGTGTTTATTTATTACTTTTTCCAATTTTATTCAAATAAAGGTACCTCACATGTTTGACAAAGGATTGGTCATATTTTCTTAATATATTTAGGAGCAAAACATTTTAAAACTAGTCAAAGAAGAAAGCACTCCAATTTTTTGTTCTTTCTAGTTTGTAATATGGTATCGTACATTGTAATGTCTTAATAATCTGAC